GTGTTGATGGACAGCAATCATCATCAAGTATATAAGTATGTTGTAATTGTACCTGTATAGAATCAAAGATGAATCCTCTTGGCTTTTTTGAAGGTTTTCATTAACTTTGACAATTGAATGGCTTTTTGGACACTTTTAACTTAGTCAAGCTACTACTTGCTTGGACAGCTTTTCATATAACCATATAACATTAGTACATAGTTTGGGAACTTGACAAAATGCACATAGAAAGTTACATCTCATTTCTTTTTTGGATGATAGTAGATGCATATTTGTCAATTAGCAGTTATTGTAAATGCTTTTGTTTAGTTATCATTCCATCAGTTATCAATCTAGATTATTGAAGGATAGGAAGTATAGTTACAAGTTGATGGGGTTCTATTAGCTTGGTTCTATTCTTTCAATGTGAACTTCAATTTGAAATGATGAATGAATGTAAATATTATACTATTGAAGTAATGATGTTTAATTGCTTAACTAATATTTATTGAAATTTGGATGCTTCAAATTTGCATGGCTTTGTAATAATTAGTTGCCTCATTTATGGTATCGATCTAATAAATTTGAAAGTAAAAACTCAATTAGGGAACATGTATATTTTCAACATTTTACAATGGTTCATGTTATATTTTAAAGAAAAATTATCAAATTTTAGTCAAGTAAAGGATGCTTGTGAAAATAGTTGAAAGTTTATTAATATTTAGTGAAAATCTAAATACAAAAAATGAAAACTGAAAATTTTGGTAACCAAACCCAAAAAAGGGGGACAATATCAATATTGAAATTAGGCTTGAAAGTGAATACCAAAAATTTTTGGTTACTGAAAATAGCGGTTTTGACGGATGCCAAAACCGATGTTTGCCCATCCCTAGCGTGTCGAGAAACAGCTCTGTTTTCAGTGTGAAACCGAGAACTTTCAGAATTTTATTTTAAGAAAAAAAAAAAAAAAAAGAACTGAGTCATCATATTGAAATCATAATATGGCCAGCAGTAATCATGTGACCAATTAAATTAAATTAAGCCTTACGACACGCATCTTGCCTTGTGGTGTCACTCCTCATGCATTAATCATGCCTTTTTCTTCGGCGGACAAAAAGATTACTCATTTTGTCATAAAAAAATAAATTTTTTTAATTTTGTATTTAAATTAAGAATTAAAGACTGATTTATATTTTTATTTATTTTCTAAAAATAATTAAAAAAAATGGAAATAAATTTTTTTATAATAGAATAGATGATTATAGTGGAGAGATAATTAAAATCTTAAAGAAAAAAATTACTCCCTTTAGTCAATTTAGTAGTTAATTTAGTTGTTTTAGTTTGACTTTTAGATATAGTTTGATCAAATAATTTTATATAGTAAATAAATGGTAATTAAGTTTTTATTTTTATTTTTATATATAATTCTTGAATTGTATTTTAATTTACATAAAAAAATTCAATTATCATCCATTTAACATAAGAAATTATCAAATTAATTTATATAAAATTGAGGGATTTAGACAATTAAAAAAAGACTAGAGGGAGTATTAGTCTCCCTGAAAACATGAAAAAAATTAATATCATTCTAAAGCACATTCTAAATTTAAAAAGTTTCTATTTTTCTAAAACGGGGAGAGTACGAGTACTATGACAATTATTTTATTGATAAAATTTTTATTGAAAAAATGGTTGAGAAAATATTAGACGAAAAAGTTGATAAATTTATAATGAAGATTTATTAGAATTTGTTGGATTGTTAATTTTTTTATATTTAGTAAGAAGTTAACATAATAAAAATTAATATGAAAGTTATCAAGCAGATCTCTCATGAGAAAAGTTGGGAAGAATACTTTTTTTCTTCAAATAGTGTTAAAAAAAAAAAAGCTTACTAATTAGAACTTGTATTAAGAAAAGTAAAACCTAAAAAAATCATTTTTATCCTAATTTTATTGTGGTATTAAGATACTCTTTCTGTTTTAAAATAATTGTAGTTTTTTTACTTTTTTCCCAAGTTAAGAATTTAGAGATAATATTTGTATTTATTTATAATACTCTTGAGAAAAATAAAAGAAAAAATATTTTTTGTAATTTGATGATTAATTAAAGTGAATGGATAAAATAGGATTAAAGTAAAAAAAATATTTGTCTACCCTTAAAAATGAAAAATAGACAATTAATTTGAAATAAATTCAAAACAATAAATGATGGTACTTTTTCTTTTGGATAGAGAAAGTGTAAAAATACTGCCTTTATCCCAAAATAATTGTAAATTTTTTATTTTGAGTTTGACTCAAATTAATTATTATTATTTTATTTTTTAAAGTATACAAATATTTTCTTTATACTTTAACTCTATTATTATTTATTTATTTTAATTAATTATCATATATCATAAAAAGTTTTATTTTATCTTTTAACTTTTTCTTAAGACTTTTTTTTTTAAAGAGTAATATAAGAAAATGTATAAATGACCATCAAATTCTTAATTTAGAAAAAAATTGAAAAATTAATAATTATTATAAAATAGAGTGAGTATGTAAATAGCCCCATAAAAATGAAAATTAAGGGAAAACTTCTCTCCTCAACCAAAAACACCGTAAGAATTTACAATTTCGTAGATTGCCCTGCGTAGATTATGCATTTTATAATAATTGCAGAGTGAAGGATTACCTCAATAACAGGGGTTTCAATTGTTATAAGATTTGCCGTTCTTATTGGGCAAACTCATCACTTTTCTATTAATTCTTTAAAAACAGATCACCTAAACTGTTCAAATACTATAAATAAAGAACCTTAAGAATTAATTTCATTATTAAGTATATGTTACTTTGTAAGTTAAAGTTAAAGTTAAAGTTTTTGAATTAATATTTAAGAAAAATAATTTTTTTTAAATACATCAAATTAATATAAATGTGTTTTTAAAATTATTTAAAAAATTAATTTTAAAATACACAAAATCAACTAAAAACACACTGGCCTTAAATATTAGTAAAAAAAAAGAAGCAAAAAAGACAAAAACAAGAAAAGAAAGATAACATAACTATAAAGGAAATTAACACCAATATTTGGGAACCACCATCTGGGGAAAAAGGAAACAGGTATGGAGAAGATTGTGAATCATGCCTTAATAGTGGCAAAAAGGCATGTTCTTGAAGTAGAAGTCCATTCCTCGATTCTCAAATTAATTACTCGAATCACAAATTAATTTACATATAATATTTTAAAGTGCAAAATTCCGTCCATTTTTTCGATCATTGAAGCTATTTAAGTATTAATCCTCTGATTACGTAAATTAAAAATAACGGACAAGAATGGAAGGAAGGAAATAAAAGTTACAAATTAGCTAATATTTACCCACCAATGGGAGGTACGTGCTGGTGGGTCTAAGATCTCTGCACTCCGCAGGCAAGATTCTCAAATTTGCCAATATTTACCCACCATACATACCTATACATACCTAGTCTAACCAATCAACTTGACAAAAGGCCACCATCCAAATGCCCCTTGTTTTCCTTCCGGGGCCACTCTGAATTGCTAATGACTTATGAATCACGATGCACTTGTACGGGTCAACCATCGAAGTGTCAAAATCAGACAGTCTAAAAAATTACACATAACACATTTTAATAGTATTTTAAATTATTTTGAATTAAGAGTTAATTTTTATCCTTTAAAAAGCATTTTAATAATTAGAATTTTTAATTTTTATATTACAAATTTTAAGTTCAACCCTTGTGATGAGCAAACAGAGATTTGCGAAGGAAATAAGTATCTCCTACTATATGTATTATCAGCTTACAATAAAAAGAAGAGAGAGTTTACTCTTTCATATGTTTATTTAATTATTTAATCCATTTGCTTATTTAAAATTCAAACATAATATCTCTTAATTACTATTAAATCACTTTAGTTATTGGCACATTAATCTGAATACCGTTATAATCACAATTTATGATAATTATGTATATCTCTGTAATTAAAATTGGGCCACAGCTCACAAATAACTGTTAATATAAAAGATAAATTTGAAGGGCTACACGGATCCTTTTTTTTTTTTTTCTTTAGAGTCTCTAGACATATCTCTTTGATGTAAAACCATAGTTGTCCATATCGTTTTGTATTGGTTGGTATGGCCAGTATGTACTAATTTTGTAAGTTAACTAAAACAATATGAATTTGAATTTCGTTTTGATAAAATATCAGATATTTCGGTCAAATTTTGTTGTACCGATTGAAATTTGGTGTACTGACTTGTACACCGAAATTGAATTAGTGTAATTCAAATCTAAAAAAAAAAAAAAAAAAAGTTGACTAATCTCATTTTGCTACACATAAATAGTTAACCAATCTCAATTTCTTTTAGGTCAAAAATGTGTTTTTGTCATCC